CGATAGCTTCAAATAGTTGCGAACTCACTCTCTTAAGGGGCGTCTGTACTAATGCAGTAAGCTTACTAGAGGAATCAATTTGGCCCTGAAATATAGGACTGCAATTAACCACTGCTAGGACACGTCTCCCACTCCAACAGGGGGCCTCCAGTGCTGCTCCAGCACTCCCCCACCCACGCACACAGCTGTTCCGTACGGTCGGGACGTGGCCCCCGGCTGGCCACGCTTGCAATAGCTCTGCCTGGGCTCGGCACACGCTGCCCGGCGCCAGCGGGCTCGGGGCACGGCAAGGCGCGCCCACCCCGGGAAGCTGGCGCCATGGGCAGGGTGAAAGGGTGAGTCTCTTCGCTCGCCTGCAAAGCTGCCCGCGCCCCGGGCGATCCCCACGACACGGGTTTCCTCTGCAGTTACGAGCAGCGCCACACGCGAGGGCTGCAACACGCTCCGGCCGCCGCGGGCCATACACCGCTGGAGAGGGCGGCGGCGCCCCCTGGCGGGCTAGCTGTGCCGTCAGGGACGCTTCTAGCTTTCCTGGTTGGCCGCTTATGGATGGTGAACCCCCCCCTGCCCGCTAGCCTGGTGGGACTCGGGGGAAGTTTCTAACCAAGCTCTCCCCGCGGAAGAGGCTTTCTGCGCCGGGCCCGGCAGGACCAAGGCTCCGCTGGGCAAGGCTCTGTCTCCACCTGCTGGCTCCTTCGCTGGCGTCTGGCTCCCCTCCTGGCTTTCTTCTGCCTCCCTCCTTCCCCGGACTTGGCGGGAGTGAGCCCAGGAGCTGGCGGCGAGGCAGCTTCCAGGGGCGAGCGGCGATGCTCCGACCCCAGGGCCCGAGCGGGAGCTGTAATCAACGCCCGGGACCGACGGCCCTTGCCCGCAGCGCCAGGCATTTCCCGTCCCTTCTCTCCCCCCGACAACACACTCCCCTCTTCTAGCTTTACACCTGGTTTTTCCGGGTGTTTCCGCTCCCGCGCTTGATCAGCCTGGAGAGGGTTTGGGAGCGAGGGGCACAGATCCTGGCAGTCTGATCAAAAGTCCGCGGGAGGGGAGGGGGGAGAAAAAGAGGGGACTGGATTAAACACTGGGAGGGAAGGAAAAGCGTGGTGGCCGCCGCCTCCTCTTTCTGCAAACAAGTCCACGTCCGAGAATTGCAGTGATCCGTAATGACAAGTTGCTGGTTAGACTCAGAATCCCACAAACCCCACGTAACGCCTTTCTGGGTCAAAAGGCTGCAGTGGGACACGAATCTAGAGCTAGTCTAATGTACGGCCATGAATCATACAGCCACCCTCTGGCGGTGGGGGAGAAGGTTAGCGATGGGCAAGGCCAGATGAATGCAGTTTGAAAGTACCACGCACTCTACCGCCTCCCTCTCCTCCCCACACAGACATTTCCTTTACTGAACGGTCCCCTCTCTCCAGTTTTCTCTTAAACAAGCTTTTATTCCTGGTCCCTATTCCCACAGCATTGCACACTGTAAAAAGCAAACCCGAGCCAGTAACGAACAAATCCATTGCATCTTCAGATGGAAGTCGAGGATCAATTGCAGTATCTCCTCTTTTCGAAATGGGGAAATGACAAGTGGGCAGCCACCAGGCTGGTCGGCACAGTGTCCAGGAAAAGGCGGATCTTTTACAAATCAAACTCAAAAGCATTATTATCTGGCCAGAGACATGGCAGAGCAGGGTCTGGCATAAGATAAAAGGCATTATTATTACAACGGAGTCACGTCCGTTTAATGTGATGTGAAGGCTAGGTGGAAAGTTTTCGACCCATTCGATGTTTTCTGCTATCAGACCACAAATTAAGTCAATCAAAGAAAATTATTTAGAAGGAAAAACGCAGATAATATAGTAATCCTTTTTACCTCCAGACGGTTTCTCGGACTCCTTGAAATCAACGGAACCCGATTCCTAGATCCAAAATTACACAGAATTTTTTTTTTCATTTTTGAAAACGATTAGATGGGAAAATATTAGGTTCCTAGGAGAGAAACTAAAGGCTGGAGAGAGAAAGAGAGGGGGAGCATAGGTGTAATCCTAAAAACAGCACTCAGATCACTCGCACTTCCTGAAAAACAAATTACAAGAAAAAATATCAACCTGCAACGCGAAACTTTATTTCCATTTGAACGAAAAAAACGGTTATTCATATATTTAGAAGAGGGACAAAATTCACTTACAAGCAACACCGACTCAATACACCTACCACCATGAAAGATATATATTTAAATGTATGTATATTCCTGCCACTAAAGGAATTATCAATAAGTTGGTTCTCTTGTTTTATTGTCTTGTTTCTTAAACGCTGAACGGAATAGAACTTTTGCAAAGTTCAATACAAGAAATGAGAAATATATTTCTCTATCTCAGTAGTCAATGGTTTAACAGCAAAAATCTTTTGCGCTTAGCAAAGCCTCGGCAGGGAAGAGCCCAGATCACAAACTGAATATAAACCGTTTGTGTTTATTTTCTTTTCAGTATTATTAATGTAGAAGCCTTTACATGAAAAAAACCAATAATAACCTACAATCTTTGCATAAATACGTAAGCCCCTAAATACCATTAGAACAAGGGTGAGAACAGGAGCGCTCATGCAGAAAAGAGTTAAAATAAAGATGATCCCACTGTGACGCTTATTTTCTGGCTGCAGTTTGACATTTGCAGAAAGTTTCCTACAACTTTTGCCTGACAAGGGCTCCAGCTGCCCTCCAATCAGACGCGCCCCCCTCCCTGCCCACCCCGTCCTAGACCCCAGCCACTGCCTCCTTGGGACTAAGGGATTGGCCGGCAGGTGAAAGGGAGCTCGTCCTGTAAGAATCCCCACCCTCCCTCGAGCAAGGCTGCGGGATAAATAAGAGTCACAAATTGTGCTATCCGGATGGGCACCAGGGGAGGGTAATTCAGTGCCATGCCAAGGCTGAGCTGAACTGGGGAAGGGAGACAATCACCAGCCAAAGCTGAAGAATTCTTGTGCCCAAGCCTAGGAAAGCGTCTCTCTCCGAATTAACTGGAGGCAGTTGCGTGAGAGCGGCTCTGTTAAAACTCGGGGGGGACATTCAACTACATTCATCTGGCGGCTGGGAAATAATCTCCCCGCTTCAAGCTCGGCTGGGGTCCTATGAAGGGAACTGTATGAGTCAATGGGGTTTC